CTCCCCAGCCTTTTCATTCCATACTTCTCTGACCTTCCTGGCCCCAAGGGATACACAGGCCGCAGGAGCTACTAGGACTACCGAACCAACTAAATGTCTGTCTCTGGCCTTGGGCACAGTGAAGGTGTAAATCTGTGAGAGTGTGTGAGAAGGTGAGTTAGTTAAGACACTGGAGGAGAACAAAGGTGACCAGAAATGGCCAAAGCCAGAATCCTGAGGTGTACTCATTAGCTTCTGTAAAAATAAAGGTAGAGGGACAAGAGGAAGAGCCAGGACCCAAGTAGTCTGTAGGGAGATAAATCAGGACTCAGCCCAATGGCCAAATGGCACATGGTGACTAGGTAAGTAGAATTACCCTGACAAGCAAAGGCAGGTGGCTTTAAGCGACCAGAAAAAACCACGTGGCTCTGGAGCCAGACTTCCCAGATTCAAATCCTGGCTCCTCCAAGTATGAGCTACGTGACCTTAGACAAGGTATTGAATCTCTCTGTGCTTTGTTTTTGTTTTTTTTTTTTAATCTGTGAAATAGAGACAATAATAGCAGTATCTCTATGCTAGATGTGAGCATTAAATGGCTTAAAGCTTTGGTTTTTTTTTTTTTTATCTGTGAAATAGAGACAATAATAGCACTATCTCTATGCTAGATGTGAGCATTAAATGGCTTAATACATACAAATCACTTAGAACACTGTCTGGCACAGAGTAAGAACACTATAAATGCTAGCAGTTATTGTTTTCTGAGGAAGAGATCCATATGATGTTGAAAGAGCTGGTTTCCCTAGAATCGGGGTCCCCAACCCCCGGGCCACAGACCAATACAGTCCGTGGTCTGTTAGGAATCGGGCCGCACAGCAGGAGTTGAGTGGTCGGGGAGCGAGCAAAGCTTCATCTGTATTTGCAGCCACTCCCCAGCGCTAGCATCAGGGCCTCAGCTCCACCTCGGATCATCAGGCATTAGATTCTCATAGGAGCACCGGTCCCTGGTGCCAAAAACGTTGGGGACTGCTGCCCTAGAACATCCTCAGGAGATATTTGGGAATTGTCTCCATACATGGAGGCATAAAATGGTAACAGGTGAGTGTGTGAATTAGTAAAGTTAAAGGAGTATGTGTAAGTAACATTGAAACAAGTGTATATAGTTACTGAAGTCTGTCAATATGCAAATCAACAAAACTTTGAATATATAAACCCTTTCACTTTTGAGTCCCTTGAATTGAGCATGGGAGCCTTCCTGTTCCCTCCTATCTCTCCTTCAGGGAAGGCTGCGTTTGCCCCTTCTTGTGACCCCCTGCCTAAGCACAGGTCCCAAAGAGCCTCCCTGATCCTGCCTACCCTGTGCTCTGCTGGGCAGATGACAGCCAGTTCCTCTGGTTCGCTTCTCAAGGCTCTCAGGAAATCATGGCTTCTTTCTTCTCCAATTGCTGTTGGAGGAAATGCAAGTCCTTAGCATTGGTTCCCAGGCCAGTTTTGACGCTAAGGCTGTGGGGAAATGAAAGCACCCAGCCCTGGAAAAACAATCCTGGCTGTCATAAGTGAATATACTTAACCTTTTTGGGCCTCAAATCTCCCTTATCTATAATTCTGGGGAGGAGTACGGGAATACTTTTATATTTTCCTCCCTCTCTGGGAGGGTAACGTTTAGGAAAAAGTAAGACCAATTGAGATCTTAATGTATTTCTACTCACTGATGCTTCTGTGTCTCAAATACAAATTTCCCAATAGAAGAGAACTGAGCATGAAGCTCCCCTATTGGGCTAATCAGGGATGACCAGGTGACATGGTCTCAGCTTATCCAATTTACCCAGAAGGCACCACACAGTGGCTTTTCTCACAAAGGGACTAGGTAACAATAGGAAATTTGAAGCAACCTGGTAGGTCCAGCATACTCAAAATCTTTTAATTTTAAACTTAATTTATGAATAGATGATACACTCACATATATTTACATAGTTCAGTGTTTTATGGATATAAAAAGAAACACAGTGGAAATGCTCTCTTACTCTTGAACTCCACCCTTTCTCTTCCTAGGAAGCAAGCAAAGTTACCATTTTCTCATGGATCCTTCCAGAGATATTCTACATAAAGAAATACCTATGTAGAGTCTTTCTCTCCGTCCTTTTTCTTTTTTTTTTTCTTTTTTTTCTTTTTTAAGGGGACCCATCTATATAGGTAATGAACATCCTCGATCGTTTTTATGACTCTTCTTCATGATGTACCAAAACATACTTATCCAGTTTCCTATTAATGGACATTGATTTCAGTCTTTCCTAGTGCTGTAATGAAGATCCTTGTAAATCAGCACATAGTCATTTAAGGTCCGACTGATCCTTATACAGATCCCTCAGGGATTCTTAACCAGGGGCTTGGGGACCCCTTAGAAGTCATCAGATATAGAATTCAGGGAGATAAATTCAAGGACCCTGGAAATTGGAAGGGAAAAAAATTTCCATCTTTATTTGCACTAACTTCTAAGTGAAATTTAACATTTCCTTTCATTGTGAATGCAGGCAACAAACTCAATAATTAGGAGTATCTGTATCTGTGACTTTCTCATATGACTGAAGGTATTGTGAAATATTTATACTCATCCCTACTTTGGCATTGTGGTAATAAAGGAAAACTGTTTCTTTACTTACAAGACTTCTGACACCAAATGTTCCCCCCCCCAAATCAACCAATTTTCCACAAACATCAAGTAGGAGTCCTATAATTATAGTCCATTCTGACACTATCTGGACTTAGTGTCAGACTCCACAAATGTAAAGGTTCAGTACCACAAGACTGCCTTCACTCCAGATGCCAGCCACAGTCATGGGTCCCCAAGGTACCCATCCTTCCGTCTGACTTGGCTACAAAGTTGAAGGTTCCCACACACCCCGGGAGGTTCGAGAATTTGCTAGAATGGCTCACAAAACTCGGAAACACTTACATTTACTGGTTTATTAAAGAATATGATAAAGGATGGAGTTGAACAGCCAGATAGATGAAGGGATACATCAGGCAAGGTCTGGCAGGGTCCTGAGCCTGGGAGCTTCTGTCCCTGTGGAGTTGGGGTGTGCCATCCTCCCAGCATGTATATGTATTCACCAATCTGGAAGCTCTCTGAACCTTGTAGTTGAGAAATTTATATGGAGGCTTCATCACGTAGGCATGATTATTAACTCAATCTCCAGCCCCTTGTCCCTCCCTGGAGGAAAGGGGTGGGATTTAAAGTTCTAAGCTTCTAATCATGCCTTGGTCCTTCCATGACCAGCTCCCATCCTGAAGCTGTCCAGGAGCACACTAAGAGTCACTTTATTAGAACAAAAGATGCTCCCATCACCCAGGAAATTCCAAGGGATTTAGGAGTGCTGCATAAGACATTCTTATCACCTCCATTGCTCAGGAAATTACAAGGGTTTTAGGAGCTCTGTATCAGGAACTAGAGCCAGAGATCAAATATACATATTTCTTATTATGTCACAAGTAGTTATTAGATTTTCTATTAGATCTGGTTATGTTATGCATTAACAAAGGAGCACATATATTATTACATAACACATTTAGTTTTCTAAAAAATATTTGGATATCTGTATTTCAATATTTCTTTGCTTTGTCTTATGTATTTTTTTAATAGTGGTAAACCATACATAAAATTTAACATTTTAACATTTTAAGTGTACAGTTCAGTGACATTAAGTACATTCACAATGTTGTGCAACTGTCACTATCATCCAGAACTTTTTCATCTTCCAAAACTGAACTTCTGGACCCATTTAATGCTAACTCCCCATAGCCCTCTCTTGTGCCCCCAAACACCATTTTACTTCCTGTCTCTATGAGTTTGACCACTCTAGATACCTCAGATGAGTGGAATCATACAAAATTTGTCCTCTTGTGTCTGGCTTATTTCACTTAGCATAATGTCTTCAAGGTTCATCCATGTTGATGCACGTGTCAGAATTTCATGTCTTTTTTAAGGCTGAATAATATTTTATTGTATTTATATACCACATTTTGTTTATACATTCAACTGTTGATGGATATTTGAGTTGTTTCCACCTTTTTACTACTGTGAATAATGCTGTTATAAATATTGGTATACAAATGTCTTTGAGTCTCTGATTTCTTTGCTTTTCAGTATATACCTAGGAGTGGAATTGCTGAATCTTATGGTAATTCGATGTTTAATTTTTTGAGGAATATGTGTTTATTTTTCTGTATGGAAAGTATTATTTTGAGATGAGAAGCACGCCAGACTCCCATTACATACTCGATTTTTGCATGCCAGTCTCAGCCGCTAGATGGGGGATTTCTTAAGGGAAATTCAGCTCCTTGTGCCCCCTCAGTAACTCTGCCAGAGGTGTAGTAAAGGCATTCAGCGCCTAGTATGCGCCTTGCCGTGCCCTGCACTGGGCGGGCTGCAAACGATACAAAGGTGCAGGTTGTACCGTAAAGGAACTGAGCCAGAGGGAGAGTTTGGGTTGAGGATGACGGATCAAAGACGCTCCAACTCCTGCCTGTGCCTCTTCCTAGATGTATAATGAGGCAAGGTAACCTTCCTTGGCTCCAGCTTTTCCATTTATAAAATGAGCTACATCATCCGATCAATGTCCAACATGAACATACTGCCTAGCCTCTAACACAGTGCCTGGTACATGTTAGGCACTCGACAGTTTTGTCCCTTTTACCAGCGGCAGCAAAAGAAAACTCTGTGGACAACCTGCCCGGAGGCTTTGGGCCCGAGGTTGCTGGGGAGAGGTCATGCCGCCCTCCCCAGCCCTGAAACCCACTCCAGCCTGGTGTGGGAGTGCGCAAGGAGGGGCCGGAGGCTGCCTTCTCAGCTCCTGTACTGGACCTTCCTGCTTCCCCTGGCGACTGTCCCCTCTGTGTAGCCCCGGGAGTGTGGCGGTCCGCGAGCGCGCGCGCCGCGCGGGACAGCAGCAGTTGGCCCTCCGCGCCGGCAGGCGGCGCTAGTCCAGACCCGGCCAGAGGCAGCTCTGGGGCCGGGATTCTCTCAGCGGCGGCGCACGGTCGTCCGGCCGTCCGCTGGGCGGGGACGCGGCGGCGGTGGCGGTGGCTCCGTGTCACCGGAGCCCGATCGCGCAGGCCCGTCCCGGCGGTCGGGGGCCGGGCGGGACAGGGGCGCCATGTGGTTCATGTACGTGCTGAGCTGGCTGTCGCTCTTCATCCAGGTGTCCTTCATCACGCTGGCCGTCGGTGAGAGTGCGCGACCCCGGTCTGAGCGGGCTCCCACCCGGCATCGCTTGGGTTCGCACCACGAGGGTGCCACAGCGACCCGGAGATTCCTGCCCTGCGCTCCCGGCTTTCGCATCCCCTCCCCTCCTATCCCACCTGGTCCTGCCCTACCTTCTGAACCCAGCAGCCCAACCTGACCGCGGGTCCTTCCAGTTGTCACAAAGTCCGCCCCAGCAGTTCCCGGGAGAGGCTCTCAAGTGCCCCGCGCCGGCGCACCGCTAACCGCTGCCGCGCCCACCTTCGGGGCCGACAGCTCCGAACTTTTCCCGGATATCTCCCGCCGCCCTTTCGCCTCTGGCCCTTCGTACTTCTTACTCCGACTTTGATATGCTTACCCCTTCTGGCTACTTCGTACTGTTGATCTCAGCTGAGATCTCACCTCCAGGAAGCCCTTCTTGTGGGGTTTGATGGTTCAGCAATGCCCCTACTTTCCCTAAAATAGCAGTTAACACTGGTATTATCTTATGCTCCTCCCACTTCCCCCCTTCCCCAGCTGGGTCAGGGGAGGGACCTTGTTTGTCTTCTGTTACATTGTCTCAGCACTTAGCCAAGCACCTGGCCCACGCTAAGTGGACAAGATATTTATCAATGACTGGATGAAATTCCTCTTTATGAGCCAGAGGTTAGCACTATGCTGAGGCGACAGATACAGGTTTACACTTTTATGAAGTCTCTCCTTAGGTGCCCTGATAAAGTTTTACTTCTTCTGAATTGAGAAGCTACACATAGGTCGTTCCGTTTGTTCCTTGCCTTCTGGAGTCCATGAGGCACTGGTGATGGGACCCCAGCTGTAGAGAAAAGGATGACCATGATGGTAGGAGTGGCCTTGGCTAATGTTCTCTCTACTTGCCCCTCTTTCTGTCCCTTTAGCGGCTGGACTCTATTATCTGGCAGAACTGATAGAAGAATACACAGTAGCCACCAGCAGGATCATAAAATACATGATCTGGGTAAGTGGTGGCTGCCCCCAGGGCTCTCCCTCACTCTTTCGCCCTGCCTCAAAAGGAAGTGGAGAAAGCGTGGCATGGATGATGAGACTTCTGCCCCTGCTGTTTCCTGAGGGTACCACTCCTACCTCCCTGCCCTGCACCTTGTCCTCTGGGTCTGCTCTTCTGGGCCCCAGTCTTTCTTTGCTTCCTTCTCCAAGTGGCATCGCTTCACTGCAGACCCCATTCTCAGTTCCTTAAGGCAACAGCTCAGTGCACATTCTTTGTCGATGAGACCATTGCTTTGCCTTTGCTTGGCCGTCTTCCACTGTCTCTAGCCCCTCACTCTGCTCACAGCATTTAGAACTGAGAGGAAACTTAAGGACAGTTTTGTTAATTGTCCCCTTTCTCATTGGATCAAGTAACTCATCCAAAGAGAGAGACACCTTCTCCAGCCCAGACCATGGAAGGCTTCTTTTTCTGAAGACACAATCTTTGCCATTGATGTCAAAGCCACAGGAGTGGCTTCTGGTGGATAGATTTCTGCCAACTGCAGGAAAGGCTGGGGGTGGCGGTGGGAGCACATTTGGACAAGAGGAGTCCAATGCCTTTCAGGTCCCTGGGTGTCAGCAGCCACTTCCACTCTGGGTTTGACTTGGGATAGGGAGTCAGGGGTGGAGACAAGACCATAGCTCTCAACTCTAGGTTCAGAGGTCCAGCTTGTGGGTGTTGGTACAGGAATTAGACCTTCATTCAACTAACTCCCATTTGTTAAGCACTGACAACTATAAGTCCTTCAGAACAGTGTTTTCACACTGCAGGTATGATTCATTATTGGGGTATATAGTCAGTTCAGTAGGAAATGATCAGCATAAAAAGACGGAATATAAAAGACTAGAATTGAAAATCGAACTTTGGTCATATATTTGTATGTATGTGTTGGGGTCACAATGTAAACTTTTGCTTACTGTGTGTTGCTGTCAAAAACTATGAGAATGACGTTTAAAGGTGCTACCCTTTGGTAGCTGAGAGACTAGTTGGGAAGATCAGACCTGTGAGTAAAGTGAGGAAAGATTGAAGCATGAACCTAGTGTTGCCCTGAGTGGGCTGGGGGTTAATGAGTCCAGGAAGGCTGCCTGGAAGAGGCTTCTTGCACTGTGTGCCTCTGGTTGTTTCAGTTCTCCACAGCTGTGCTGATTGGTCTCTACGTTTTTGAGCGCTTCCCCACCTGCATGATTGGCGTGGGCCTCTTCACCAACCTCGTCTACTTTGGCCTCCTCCAGACCTTCCCCTTCATCATGCTGACTTCGCCTAACTTCATCCTGTCATGCGGTGAGAGGGGGCAGAGTTGAGGAGGCAGCTGAGGTGGTTGGATATGCCCAGCTCAGGCTGGGGGCAGACTGAGAAAAACAAATCACTGAGTCCTTCAGGAGTCCAGGCTGATTGGGAGGATGGGGTTCTCACACATGAGGAGCCTACCTTGGCTCAAATGACTGAATTTGGTGGGAGTGAGATACTCAGATAGAGAGGGCTTTCCCAGGGAGGTAAGTGTGAAAAAGGGATTGGGAAGAGAGAAGAGGTGGGCTTGCTGAGTAGTTAGAGCCCCTAAGGTACCACTTGGCCAGGAAAAGCCCAAAGCCCTTCCCTGGCAGGCAGGCAGCTCCCCGTCTAGTCTTCTGGCCCAATGCCATGATTAAGATGGGAGTCTCATGGGTCTGTGGGCCCCTTGCAGATTGCTCTTTATGGCTTGACGAGCATGTTTGGAGCACCCTGGCCTTCCTGCCTTTGCCCTGCCACCACTCTCTGACCCTGGGGAGTCCTTTCCCCTTTCTGTGCCTTAGGTTCTCCATCTGTTCAAAGACAATGTTTGGGAGACTCAGTTGGCATATAGAAGGTACTTATATGTATATTTATAGGTGTTCGTGGAAAAAGTTCTGGAAGGTATTTGGTTACCAGGATTGCCTTTTCTCCTATTAATTGTTACTGATCATCCTAGCTTTTGGTTAGGATATCACATGGAATTGAGGTATTTTAGAGCTACTTTTATATTTCTAAGGGAGAACTTGAGAAGACTATTTATTATCCACGAGGAGGCAACAGTGTTAAAGCTAGGACTGGCCTCTTCTCTGTGTGCCTTGGTGTGATTTCACCAAAGAATTTGTTCAGTGGGGTTTGGTGTGGGGAGCCCTTCCCTGGAGACCAGGCCCCTTCTGCATCTTTCTAGGGCCCTCCACCGCCCCCTCCCCACCCCACTAGCAGCGGGCTCTTCAAAAACGACCTGCCCTTTAGATGCTTGAGAGAGTTTTTCTGAAAGATTTTTTGGGTATCAGGCACCATTCTATCTCCCAGTATCCCCTAGTGCTACAGCGTGGCTAGGCATGGGAGGGGCAAGAGATATAGGAAAAAAGAGATGTAGTGGCTATGAGGTATACGTAAGGGGTGTCCAGTTTTGGGGAACGCTTTGTTCTGGTGCCTGCCCTCACTTCACCATGGGATTGAACAGGGATGAGTACCCGTCTCTGAGCAGCCTGTCCCAGGATCTCTCGCTCGCTCTCTCCCATAACTTTAGCTGCACAGTAAGGAGATGTGGGGGGATCCGGAACGTACCAGTTCAGAGCAGTGGGCTCTGCTCTGCAGCGGGATGAGGAAGGACCCCCCTCTCCCAGAATTTTGAGGAACCCTAAAACTGTACCCCCAAAGTGTCTAGCCAACTGTGCCCTTTTATTATTGAGGAATGAGAGCCTCTTTTTTTGAGTTGGTCATCTCCCTGCTGCCCATTTTGGAGTAGAATCTCCTGTGAGTACGTGTCCTACACACCTGCGACTTCCCCTGTGGGCGAGCTCTCTATAGCACTCACATCCACTAAAAACCAGGTCGTCATGGTACTTTGGAATATGGAACACTGAAGTCTCTTATCACTCAAAGAGCTTACCTGCCTTCTATTTTTACTCATGAATGCCCTCTGCAGTTGACAGGTGGGGGCTAACTCTCCCATTTTAGCAGATGGAAACTGAGTCCTGGAGAGTCGTGTACTTGGCCCAGAAGCCATACTGAGTTGGCCGTCAAGTCAGGACTAAAGCTCAGGGCTCCCAACTCCCAGGGGCCTTTTAAAGATTTAAAGTCTGGCTTTACGTTATTCCCTCCAAATTAACTGACTCTTCCTTCCCTCAACAGGACTAGTGGTGGTGAATCATTACCTAGCATTTCAGTTTTTTGCAGAAGAATATTATCCTTTCTCAGAGGTAAGAAGTGTTTAGTATATCAAACTATTAACAGGGACGGAGGGGAGTATAGGGGATTTGCATGATTTGCTTTGTGAACTTGGCTATGATTTGAAACCATCCATTTAGGGATAACACATTTTTAAAAACTTAGGTGATTTTAGAAAGCAGTGTGGATGAGGAGCAGGGAACCCCCTTCTGCCGAGGTGGGGAGATCACTGCTCTTCGCCAGTAAGTCCTTTGGGTCTCCCAGGATCCCAGCCTAATACCCCAAGGACAGGAAGGGGCAGTCGGGTAGTCTTGCCTGATGCAGACTTCTCAGGGCTAGGCTGCAGCCCTGAACCCTGGCTCCTCTCACTGGCCCACCAAGACCTCCTCTCAGGATTTCTCCACACCCTGCCACTCCAGTCTGGACCCCTGGGGAAGAACGAGGTCACTACTTTGGGTAGTGTGGGTCAGTCATGGTTTTGCCCTCCATCTGCCTCCTTCAGAGGAATTGCTTGTTCTAGTGACCGAGATTTGGGGACTGTGGCCACACTAGGCCATCTTCACCCTCTACCTCTCCCCACTGTACTATCTCCATGTCTAAGATGTCCTGTCTCTGCTTCCCAGGCCCTCCTCAGAGATCAGGTGTGGGGTCTTTTGTGCATTCTTGACCACCTAAGATACATGGTGACCACGCTCAGCCCACCCTTGGCATCTCCAGGGGCACCCTCTTCTCAGTGTTTCTTGTTGCCAGGTCCTGGCCTATTTCACTTTCTGTCTGTGGATAATCCCATTTGCATTCTTTGTGTCACTGTCGGCTGGGGAGAACGTCCTGCCTTCTACCATGCAGCCAGGAGGTAAGAATGGGTTTGGGAGGGGTCATGGTGGGAGGACGCCAGCAAGGCCTGAGTTGGCTGGGGGAGTCGGAGCCCAGCCCCATGATGGAGACACTTGGGCTCCAGGTGGGGAGAGCTATGCAACATTCAGACACGCACACACGCTCATCTCCCTGCCTGTGTCTCCACAGATGACGTGGTCTCCAATTACTTCACCAAAGGCAAGCGGGGCAAACGCTTAGGGATCCTGGTTGTCTTCTCCTTCATCAAAGAGGCCATTCTACCCAGTCGTCAGAAGATATACTGATCCCCCTGGGTAGGGTATGCCGGGGCAAGATCAGGAGAGCCAGGCCCCTGGGCCTCTGTACTAGGTGGGAACATGAGCCTGGAAGGCACCTTCCCCCAGCCCTGGCCTGACTTCCTTCAACTCTCCTTGAAGCTCCCATCCCCACCCTCCTCGGGTGGCTCAGATCTGATACTGCTAGAGGCTGTGACCTTAGAGGGCACTGAAGGCGGCAGAGCCTGCTTGGCCAGGAGGCTGTGGTCCACCTGGTTGTGTGGAAGCTGAGCTCTCTGTGGTCCTCCCCACCCCCTTCCATGCTGGGTCAGGAGGTGCTGGCTCAGCTGGGGCAGGCAGGGCAGAGGCCATGAAGCTGGAGAGCAGACAGTGATAAGTTATTTGGGCAGATGGCCATGGGGCGGGGCCATGGCTTGGCACTTCCAAGAGAAATAGTTTTTGCTATTGAACTGTGATTTCTGTCCAAGTCTGATTCCTGTTTGAATAAAGATTCTAGGTGGCACTGTTTGCCTTAATACCCTGAAAGTTCATCTTCCTTTCTGCTGACCTTCTGCCCTAGACTGGATGGGCTTTTCTGCTCCATGGGTTTCTTTTCTGGGATTGGGTCTTGCCTTTCTGAAGGGACTGTTCTTGTGGCCCTTAGTGGGAATGGGGCAGAGAAGAGGAGCTGAGCCTGGTCAGGGGATAGAGAGTGGTGGGTGAAGGCAACCTTTCTCATGCCCCTCCCTTTCTTCCATCTCTTCTTTTCCCAAGACTTCATGATTATCAAGCTGGGGGCTGAGAGGTTTAGATTTGCAGAGCAACATCTACAATAATCTATAAGTCTTCCCCTGGGGGGAAAGGAGTGGTTTCTGGCTGAATTCTAGGTCAGGCTCAGGGGGCTACAGCCTATTTTTTAAGAAATGGGACTGATGGGAGAAGCTGTTTGTCACTCTAAGCACACGAGGGCTGGGCCTTCTCTTCTGTGTACTTGGCTCCTGGGGAGATGACCTCAGACTTCTAAGAAGGCAGGCCAGGTCCCAGGCACAGACCAGCATTTGTTGACCTTGCACTCCAACTACAGTGCCTTGCAAGTACTCAACAGTACATATTTGGAATGAAGTCCCCATGAGAGCCATTGCTAGCCATATCTTATACCTCAAAGTGAGGCTGGCACGTGCAGAGATGGACTGCACACACATGGTACCTTGAAGACCCTGAGAAGACCCTTGTGCTTGAAAACCTTTCTTCCACATCTTGCCTCAAGTCCCACCACATTCCTTCATTTCCTTAGCTTTAGCATTTCCTTTTCCTTGGGAGGAGCAGCACATTTTGGTCTTCTCTCAATGGAAATGAGATTGCCAGGCCCTTTTATCCTATGCAGACAAAGGAGAACAAGGTAGAGGACACTGGAGGCCAACATCATCTTCACTGCTGTGCCAGCAGCTGGCTCTGCTCCACTGCTGTTTCCAATGACGAGGCTTCACCCCTTTCATTTGCTCAACTGCCAGTGCTTTCCCTGGGGGTTGCCAGTGGCCTAATGCTAAATCCAGCAGACCCTTTTGATATTTTACTGGGTTTCTGCAGCATCTGACAGGGCTGATCACCCCCAGCTTCTTGAATCGCACCTCCCTGGCACTTCTGCAGCTGATTCTCTTCCTACCTCTGTGGCTTCTCCTTCCCGTGTCCTGTGCAGGCTTCTCCACTCACCCCATGCACCGTGGGGTTTCTCAGGATTCTGTCATGGGCTCCCTGGAGGAGCTCATTAATGCCGATGGCTTTGACTCTTTGCCAAGAAACTAAGAGTTGACCTCCAGCGCCAACATCCCTCCTGGGCTTCTGAACCACAGTTCCGATGCCTGTAGGTGCACAGACAACTCTCATGGCCCAGATGGCACTTGTTGCTGGCCTCTGCAAACCTGCCTCTTTTTACCTGCTGTGGCCCCAAGATCACTCAGGAGCCAGACCAGAAACCTGCTTTCTGTCCCCTGCTTTCTCTTTCTGCCCCTCCCACATCCAAGTTCTAAAAACTGTCGTTTGCCTTCTTAACATCTCTTATTAGAACTACTCCCACTGTCATCGACTTTCACCTGGATTATTGTGACAGCCTCCTCCTGTTTCTCTGTCCTGCATCCAGAGTTGTCTTTCTAAAATGCACAGTTGATCAAGTCCTTCCCTGACCTACAACCTTCCATGGCTTCCCACTGCCTTCAGGATAAATCTGGACCCCTTAGCATGGCTGTGAGACTTGTGGTATGCTGCTTCCTGCTTGCCTCTCTGGCCTCATCACTTGCCACCTTGCACTCTGGGTCCCAGCCTCCTGTATCCAGAGATGCTGCTTTGATTCTCCTTTGTTCTTTTCACTGGGTATCTTCTCTGTCAATTCTCAACTTAGATTTCACTTCATCCTAGGAGCTTTGGATGTCCCCTCCGCAGCCTACCCCAGCACACCGCACAGATCACTCTGGGCTCACTTGCCTGTGTACTGGTCTATCTCCTCACCAGACTGTAAGCTCATTGAGGGCAGGGACTGTCCTTCAATTTTTGTATCAACAGCGCCTGGCTTGGTGCCTGGCACAAAGAAAGCACTCAATAAATGTTTGTTTAATGAACACTTTGTAGTGATGTGTACAGGGGCTAGCTGGGGGGCGGGCGGGCGGTGGGGAGGGTGCACGCTAGCTTCCTGGAGGAAAGACAAGTACTTTCATAGTCCCAAACTGAAGCAATAGGTCCTCCCTCCCTTCCCCCAGATAAGCTACCTGTGCCTCCCTGACCTGCAGAAACCCTAGTGACAGCCCACAGTGGCAGGGAAGCCCATGGCAGGTGACACATTAGCTGTCTTCTATACCATTCTGGATCTGGAGATGAAGCACGAGATTTAGAAACTATAGCAGAAGGACTTAATCTGAACAAGAGGTAGAATTTCCAAGTGGTCCCCCCCATCCTGGAAGCCTTGTCCCTGGTGGGCTGTTTGGGAGGTAGGGGGCAGCAAACGAAACACCAGTATGTTACTTTTACAATGCTAGGGCCTAGGATAGAGACTGACCCCCCACTCTAAGCCTTGGGCTCCTGCCCTAACTTGAATCTCTTGGACGATCCCAGAGGTTTCTTTCTGGAGAGAAGGGAGACCTGGGACCTGGGCTTTTGGGCTCTGATCCTCGAGCTTGGGAGTCAGAAGCCTCCTCCCTTCTTCCCCGTCCATAACATGGATGGCCACACCTCAGCCTTCACTGGGCTGCCTCAGGTCAAGAGGCTGCCAAAATAAGTTTATGGAGGGTGGTTAGGGAGAAGGCAGAGTGGGAAGCCCTTGATGGGCTTGCACAGTTGCCAGGAAGGCTTTGTCAAATGTCTCACGCAGGCTCATGGCCAGAGTGTCAGTCCAGAAGGTGTGGTCACCTAGATACCGTTTCCGGGCCACATTCCTCATGCTGACAGAGTAAAAGCCCTGGGGCACCTTCATCCTGTAGGGCCGCACCAGAGGATACAGTTCGCGGATTATCACCTCCAAAGGCAGCCGGGGCACAGGCCCTACCTGGTTGCCAGCCACCGTATGCAGCCGAGCACCACCGTGCCCATCAGACTTAACCTTGATGAATCCATGGAAGTCGTACTCCAGGCTGGGGTCTGGATGCACGCCCAGGCGGATGCCTTGTGGGTAGCTGATCTGGGCAGTGGGAGATGTGGCAGGGTTGTTGCTACGATTCCACAACTCTGGCCGCCTGATTGTGGGCTGCTGGTAGGTGGGTAAGAATCTCACGAATGGCTGCAGTGTGAGCTCTAGTTTCTGTTGCAGGAGTGCCTCTGGGGAGGGGTGAAAGCTCCTGGGAGGCTTGAGGGTCTTGGAGAGGGTGATGGCCCGTGGTGGGGCTCTGGGCTTTAGCTCAGTATTGCAGGTCAGGGATTGGCCTTGGGGCTGCACCTTGCTACGGAGCCACTTCTTGAAATCAGCTTCTCTCAGAATTTGGTGCTCTTTCTGCAACATTAGAGGGCACAAGATAGTTGAAGAGGGCTGTTCCCCCTGTGCTTCTGTGGAAGGAGGCCCAGTGGCTACCGTCCTTGGGAATCTCAGGTCTGATTGGTCAGATACCGTCCTGCCCCAAGGGAGCCCTGAGTCTGATGGGGAGACAGCTATTGCCTCAAGGAAGCCCCTGGGCTGATGGGGTAGACAGAACCTCTCCCATAGGGGAGACCTCCAATCTGATGGAGCTACAGCCTCCAACCTAGGTAAGGTCTTCAACTTGAGCAGAGAGACACAGTCCCTGCCCTACAGAAACCCTTGATTCTTACAGGAGGGAACCCATATCGATAGTGGAGACATGTCCCACCCTAAGAGTCTCCGGTTTAATGGGGAGCGTGGGGGAGTGGGAAATGGTTGGAAGCAAATGAGAAGTGCAAACTGCATACTTGACCTTGGACCAAGAAAGCAGAAAAGTTTGGAAGGCCTGGAGCTGGGTGGAGCTAATCTGGGCAGGCTTCTTGAAAATGGTTGGCCTTGAGCCGTCATGTGCGGGCCTGGTTTCCTGGCTCTCGGGGCTGGGTGGTGATAATTCTGTCCAGCTTTCTGTTCTTGCCTCCACTACCACTGAACCTTTAATTTGTCACAGAGCTGCCGCCCCCTTCCTGCCCCCTGTTTCAGTCTCACTTCCTAGACTGTTGCTAAGCCCTCAGGTGGTTGGGAGATTGTCTCAGCTGGGGAGGTAGGCTCTGATTAGGCTAAGCCTCTCATAATAATTCCGTCAGCCTTGCTCCACACCTAGGTCAGTCAGCCCATGCTCTAGGGATTGAAACAAGAGTGGACATATGATCTAATTGAGGCCAATAAGAGATGAAGGGTGATCTGCAAGGGGCTTCTGGGAAAGTTTAGAGACACAGGAACAGATGGGCTTTGCCTCCTCTGGACACATGTGACCGAAAACAGAGGAAATAGGGCTGAGAAAACTGGAAAGAGGTGCAGCTGGAGCAGAGCTGTAGTCCTAGATTTTGCCAGCCACAAAGCCCTCCCCACTTATGGATACACTTAGGATTCCCACCATTTTCTTGCTGGGTTTTCTGGTTCATGCATCCTATGTAATTATACCTGCTTAAAATCCTTTAGTGACTTTTCTTCCCCAGCCAAGATCTATCATTAATCTGGGCCTCTGTCAAATCTCTAGCTTGTCAATCTCCAACTCACATTGGACCTCCCAGTTCTACTGAATTTGTACTTTTCAGCATATACCGTGCTTCCATGTGCCTCTTTGCCTCTCCACATGGTTGTCTATTCCTTCCGCCTGGTCAGCCCTTTCCTACTTCCTCAAATGGCCAACTGCTGCCCATCTTTTAAAGACTTTTCTTAAACATTATTCCTTTGGCACTCTCCTGGACCACTCCCCTACTAGACTTTAAGCTCCTTGAGTGAGAGAACCACCTCTTATTGGTCTTTGGAGCCTCAGGGTCTAGCAGGTGCCTAGTAGAGAGTGAGTGCTCAGTGTCTGTTGGAAGAATGGGTCTTTTTGACCAATGTGTCCCAGTTAGGGCCTGGGTCTCATTAAAGATTCTGCTCACCAGAAAGAGGCAGTGCTCTAGGAGGAGCTCCATAAATACTTGATAATTTAAGTTGTATTTGCTTTCTAACCCAGACTTCTGACCTACGGGAGTGGCTTCTAAGGGTGGAATTTGTCAGAGGA